GTTGATAAAGAAAAAAGATGGTAGTTGGAGATTATACGTGGACTACTAAGCTTTGAACAAGGAAATGGTGTTGGACAAGTATCATATTCCTGTGATTGATGAATTATTCTATGAGCTTTATGGGACAGTTATTTTTTTCAAAGATTGATCTGAAGTAGGAGAACCACCAGATCAGGATGAATTCGACGGATGTACACAAGACAGCATTAAGAACACAAGCAAGACAATATGAGTTCTTAGTAATACCGTTCAGCCTCATCAACACACCGACGACATTTCAATCCCTCATGAATAGTATTGTCAACCTTATCTTCGAAAATTTATCCTGATTTTCTTTGTTGATATCCTGATCTACAGTCGTACAGAGATAGAGCGTATGGGGCACCTGAGGACGGTTTAGGAGACATTGAGGGAGCGTCAATTGTATGCCAACTTAAAGAAATGTACTTTTGCATAGTGGCAGGTGGAGTACCTAGGATATGTGATGACTAGAACAAGCTAGTAGTGGATCAGTCCAAAATTGAAGCTATGGTTGATTGGCCCTTACCAAGGAGTTTAAAGGAGTTGAGAGGATTCCTGGGTTTCATCGGTTACTACCGGAAGTTCGTGAGAGGATATGACACGATAGCATGACCACTGATAGAACAGTTGAAGAAAGACAATTTCAAATAAGGAGAAGCAGCAACACAGACCTTTAAACAACTGAAGAGGGTCATGACTAGCGTATCGATAATAACACTTCCAGATCTCAATAAACAATTAAAACGGATGTGTCAGGGTACGGATCGAGCGAAGTGCTCAGGCAGGATCAACGACCAATTGCATACTTCAGCCAGGTTCTTACAGCCAGAGCGAGGCTAAAGTCAGTATATGAGCTAGAATTGATGGCAATTGTCTTGACCATTCAAAAGTGGCGGCCTGTTGGACGACATTTCTTGGTTAGGACATATCAAAGGAATTTAAAGTATCTTATGGAGCAACGGATGGTGATTGAGGAGCAATAGAGATGGTTATACAAGCTGCTGAGGTATGATTTCAAGATTTATTACCGACCAAGATTGAAGTACAAGGCAGCTGACGCACTGTCGAGAAAGGTTGAGGAACCCCAATTGACAGCACTATTCAGTACCCTTGGTGCTGGACTGGGTGGCTTTGAGATAGGAGAGCAAAAGGGATGAAGAGTTGAGGAAAATAAGGACTGAATTACTACAGGATCTGAACAATCATCCAAAATATGCATTGAGAGGACAACGGCTGATCCACCAGGGGCTATTCGTGCTACCCAAGTTGTCGAAGTATATCCCTAAATTATTATAAGGGTTTAAGACCTACAGTCTTCTGGCGGCAGAGCTTTATTGGGTGGGGATGCGCAGAGAGGTGAAGGACATTATGGCAAAATATGACGTATGCCAGCACTACAAGTACTTTGACCACAGCACCCATTAGCATTACCGGAGAAGGCTTGGGAAAGAATGATGGATTTTATCAAGGGTTGCCACGGCCAGAAGGGTGATTATGGTGGCCGTGGAATGCTTAAGTACGCACATTTCATTCTCTTAAGACAACCCTACACTGCGGTCTCAATCTGGGATTTAGTCCGTTTGCATAGGGTGTCGAAATTAATTGTATCGGATAGGGAGAAGGTGTTCCTTAGCCACTTCTAGAAAGAGCTACTTTAGTTTGCAAGGAACAATCCTTAAAAGAAGCACCATATATCATCCTTAGACCAATGGACAGACGGAGGTTTTAATATAAGTGTGGAGACATACATGCGTTGTTTTGTATCTAATACAGCGAAGTTATGGGCTAAGTAGATTGCATGGGTTGAGTATTAGTATAATACTTCTTACCACATGTCGCACAGACAATCCCTTTCAAGATATTGTATGGATTGGATCCACTCCACTTGATACATTATGGACATAGCACTACACCAGTTTCAAGAGTTGCTCAGCACTTGGAGGAGAGGTACAAGATACTAGCATAGCTCAAGGGGCATCTTTTGAGAGCTCAACAAATCATGAAGAGAAAAGAGGATGGGCACATAAGAGAGGTGCAATTCAAACCAGAGGACATGATCTACTTGAAGCTAAGGCCCTACTGAAAGAAGACATTGGCCAGAAGGAGAAGCCAGAAACTTTCATAAAGATACTTTGGGCCTTATGAGATGATGGACACATCGTACAGTAGCCTACCATTTGAAGTTACCACCATCCCCTGCATTACACGGACCTTCCATGTATCCCAATAGAGACGACTGATTAGAGATCACACACCCCCATCTACACTAGTTTCGACGCTGACGGAGGACTTGGAGGTGATTCTGGAGCAATTAGAGATTGAGGAAGTACGCCGAGTAAGGGGAGCAAACAAGGATTGGTTAAGTAGAAAGGACTATCAGACTATGAAGCGACATGGGAGCCTTACGAGATGATCCACTAGCAATTTTCATCTTTTCACCTTGAGGACAAGGTACATTTTTTGGAGGGGAGTAAAGTTACACCCACAGACGGACCGGTCTAGGAGGGACTGACCGATTGCAGGCGAGAAGGGGAGAGGCACAGAGGAAGGAAATGAGAGGGTGGGGTCCACTCTTGCCATAATCACATATTCAAGGAGTAGAAATTAAGGGGAGTTTGGAGGAAAGTTTAAAAGGAAAGTTTTCGAATTCAGCAATGAAAATTCTATTAAAGGGGGAACTAAGGGTTTGTTTATTTTAATGCATATGTTGTATGGCTATTGTTTTCTTTCTTATTACGGTGTTCCTAGTGACGTCTAGGGTGTAGTACAGCCGATCTACCTCTAGAAAGTATATTAACCTTGTATCTTGCTTGTATTATGTTAATTTTTGTAAGAGCAACCCTTGTTTGTTTCTTTCACCTATAAATTGTCGTTTTGTCGTGGTTTATTTGTTGATTTTTGTGTCGAGGCGTATTAGAGATATATAAAAAGAAGTTTACATTGCCAAAGAAATTAAATAAGTAATTGTGAGCGTAGATTCAGATAAAGTGGTTCAAGTAATCACTGATAATGTACCTGTGTTGAGAGATACAGAAACATTGATTGGGGCTCAATATCATCAAATTTTTTGGACTTTGTTTTGTTCACAAATTGAACTTAGCATTGATGAATATATGTGCTTCGAAGAATATATGTGTTCCGAAGAATAAAGAAGGAAATTAGACAATTTATGAGCAATGCAACTAGATAGTTGGCATTACAGATAATTTCAATTTTATAAAAAACATTATTATGAATCATTGAATGAGATTATCAATGTTCAATGAATTTGTAAAACTGAAAATGTTGGTCATTGCAGAGACTCATTTTGCATTAAGTACAGTCATGGGCTACAAATAATGGCGATCAGTAAGAAGTGAAATATGTATCGTGAAGAAGATATAAGCAAGAAAAAATTTGTAAGGGAAAAATTCTATGATGATGTGTGGTGGAAAAAAATTAATTACGTTAGTGATTTTACAGAATCTATATATGACATGTCGAGATTGACTAATACAGAGAAACCTTGTCTCCACCTTGTCTACAATATATGGGATTCTATGATAAAAACGATGAAAGGTATTATATCGACACGAAGAAAAAAGAGACAATAAAGACTCTAATTTTTATAAAGTTGCATATGAGATTTTAGTAAAAATATGAAATAAAAGAAACATTTCTCTTCATTGTTTAACTCACTCTTAATTCAAAATATTATTTGAATTGACATTCTTTATTAATCCTAACTTGTATTAATTTTGTCACTTAAAAGTGCATTTTTTATTAGGTGTTACAGTCAAGCTTGGATAAGTGAAACTCCAAATCGTGTTGCTCCAAACAAAGATATGAATGTATCAATTAAGAGAAATAAATGCTTAAAGAGGTGTTTCTCAAATATTGAAGAAAAATAAATTGTTAATTTGGAGTTTGCTAATTTTTTTTTGGATTTAATGTTGCTTTCGTTAATCATGACTCCATAGCTTCTAGAGCTATTATGAATGGAAAGACAATTCATGATTTATGGAGCAAGTTCCCCACAACTGTAAAGTTTAGCTTTCAAATTGTTGGCTCAACCGTGTTCATCTTCTTGTTATGAAAAAAGTAGAATACATATTTTTTTATCAGTTCACTTGAGAGAAATAAAATCACTCCGCAACGAGTTGAAGATTTGATAGTTGTTCATACTTATCTCAATTTTCTATCTAGGAGGAGCCCAGAATACTCTCAGTAGGACACAAAACTATGGGAAGTTGGTGGAGACGCCTTGGCTAGAACGAATGATATTGGATTCTCACAGTTGTTAATCCTTCTCTTAATGAGCCATGTTTACAAACAATGTTTTTCGTTGATGAAGGTGAAGGTGTCGTTGTTGAGGGCAATGGAGCTAGCACAAATTATGACACCACCGTTGAATGTATTAACTACAATTAGTGATAATTATGTTGTTATATTTAGACATTTTGCCATACTTTGCTTTAATTTATTATGGATGGCATTGGTATTAAATGTTTTAATAATTTTTTGATATTTTGTATATAATTTTGATATTGTAAAAAAATAACTTTTAAGAATTTATCATTATAAAATTTTCTTAACAATTGTATTTATTGTTTTGTGACGTCTTTAATAGAAAATATTAAAAATATATATTTATATTAGTAATTTATTAAAAAGATAAAAATGTGTTTATGTCGTATCGTGTCCCTATATTTTGTAATTACGTCGTGTCGCCGTATCGTATTGTATCGTGTTTGTGCTTCATAGGAAACTTATTAGTAGATCATCGGTTGATGTCATTTTAAATTTGATGTAAACAATTTTTTTTTCCTCTATGTATTGATCAACAACATAGCATTGATTGACTAAGATTCTGATATGCCTGTATAACAAAAAGAAATTTAAAAGCTAAATGTAATCTAGCGAGTAAGAAAAACCTTGTTTGCAATTATTTAAAAAATATACATAATCGCATTGAACTTGATTTAGATCAGAGAATGTACCTTGAGGAGATCAAACACCTTCTCAGCAATATACTTTTGCTGAAGATTTGCCCCCTTCTGTTGCACCTTATCAGGATGAATACACAAGGTTGCTTTCCTATAAACCTTTTTAACAGATGCAGCTGTAATCAAATCTGTTAAAGAGACAGGTTGCCACCCACATTCTGGCCAAAGTACCTATTTGAAGATTTAAAAATATATATATATATATATTTAGAAGATATTCAAACGCATTTAAGTGAATCAGCAATGCAAGTACACATGGGATAAATAAACAGTGTTCCTCTCCTTCCTACAACAAATGCATTAATAAATTGAAAAAAAAAAGATCTTTAGTAAGTCCAAATAAAATGCAATGAAAAGGCTGAGAATTGTAGATTCTTGGTCACCTTATTTGTCATTAGTTTAAATAAAAATTATGACAAAGATTTCAAATTTAACACAGAGAAAAAATTTTATTTCAAAGTAACAAATATTCACGAATTTTCCTCTAAGAAAACCTTTCTGCCCAGCTGTAAATCCCGGATAAGCCTTTTGAATTAGGAGCCTACCCCTGCTGAAAAGAAATTAGCTGTGCTCTTAAGAAGCAAATATAGAAAAAGGTTCCGCTGGTAAAGAGGTGGTTTTTTGTGCTCAAGGCACTGCTTTTTGAGTTACTCCCACAGCCCAGCTCATTCATCAGTCAAAGATACTTTCGAAGGTTTGTGATATCCATAATTGCAACAAGCAGAAAGTGTTCTACAACTATTGAGTTAATGGCTACTTCATTGAAATAAAACGATTCATGATCATAAATTTTCAACTGTTCAGACTAACATCAGCAAATCATAGAACTCCCTCCCATATAATGTGTTGAGCTTATTTTCATTCAATTCATGAGTTCAGTGATTTTTTTCTTTTTATAAAATCTTATACATAGTAAATTCTAAAAAATCAAAGATGGACTCTGAACTATCTTTTTCCTTCTCATAAGTTTGGAGCAAATTTTATTTTCTTTTATGGTGATTACTCGAGATTTAGCAATTGTTGATCACTGTCCTTGACTTACACATTTAATAGTTTTCTATGTAGTACCTCTCTTTAGTATTACCATTATTATTTTAAAAATTTGGTTATTGAATGTAAATCAATTTCTAAAGTTGAAGTATTTCCGGTTTATAATAGGTTTGTCAATTAAAAAATGAAGATCCCTTTGTTCTTGAATATCTAACAGAGAAAAATCAAAATCAAGTGCAATCAGTGTACATGCATTCTTAATTATCATTATGTATACTACTATTAAAAAAAGGCTTCCTATACCATCACTAGAAAATCTCAGGCATTCAAAAGATACTTAAAATCAAGATCATCCAAATCTTTTATTTTAAATTTTAACTTTACATTATATCTTATTCATTACTTTTCTCTCCAGATAATTTAAAATGTTCCCAAATTCAAACAATTCAACATAAACTTTTAAATTACATTTTGCCCATCAAATTTTCTCTCCAAGATACCCACGATTAGTGATGCTCTCCCATGCTTCCCATGCCATTCAAGCCTACAAATCTATGAGTAGGCAGCGACAGTCTTCATTTCTTTTCCTTTGCATACAAATTTATGTAAAATTAGAAAAATAAGGGTTTATCCTTGAGTGCTTTTCAGAACATATTACTTCTTATAAGATGGCGTATAACAGCCAACATATACTATCTTTGCAAAAAAAATTCATAAACTTGTCTGTTAATTCTTTAAATTAGAAAGGATAAATCAAGAAATAATTATATTAGAGAAAAAGATTGAGTAATATCTACAGAAGATAAGATAATTAAAAATAAACATTTATTTTTTGGACATATACAAAGAAGAGCAGAAAAAACACGCATTATAGCTTAAATAAAATTTTCATGTGCCTGTTTGTTTTATTATAAAAACCTAAAAAGGTCGAATAATCTTTCATTTTAAGGTAACTAAAATAAAATGTGTTCATAATGATTTCAAACAATCATTTTATTGCTTCAAATAACACTAAAAAAAGGGTTCAGAAAATTAATATGGCTAATGGCTATGACAATGATGATGAAGAATCGTGCTATTGCTTTAGGTGCGCTAGTTTGTTTTATATTTATTTCTTTATAGCGCATTGCATTTGATTGTTTTATAACTATTTCTTTGTAAAACTTTTTATGTTGAAAAGCTCCAAAATTTTCAATATTTCCTAATAACGCATATTACTTTTTCCATACTGATAATCGCATATGTTTATAAGTTTCCTAGGTAGAGTAAAGAAGTTCAATAAATTAATGATCCCAACTTGACTCCAGCTGCCAAAGTGCAGTGAAAAGGATGCCTACAAATAACAAGTGATCACGCATGCTATTTTGAAGAGTATCGGTCTGTCCATGACTCTTTTTGGGCTTTATTGTACAATTTACTTTGGTTATGACAGCTGCTACTGGTGGTTCTTATTTGCTAGCATAAGAACATTTCTTCCACTATTCTTGTTATGTTTAACACTTGGTGCTACTCAAGCGGAAATAGGATGAGGAGATTGGTTCAGCTAAAGAACAGGTTTCTTTTGTTCTTAAACATTCAGATGGTGAGTGTGCATGGAAGCACTCAGGAGAGTTGTTCAGTACAGGGCACGTCAGTTTTATTTAATTTTTTTTCATTTCCAGAATGCTGATCTATTTATGCATCAGAATATCAAGAAAAGAATCTCTGGATTTCTCTATTCCAATTGGCCAAAACCCACAGTCCTGAATTCATCAGCGGAACTATATTTGGCTGTAAACTGGATTAGATATATTGATTGGTGGAAATGCAGATGTTGCTGTAATACACATGATAAGGTGCAAGCGCAAAAAAATCCAAATAAATTATACCAAAATTTCAACTTTCTCGAAAATTATCAAAAAATTATTCAATTGCATTTTACTATTCAAAACAATCATTTTGGTATATAGAATTTATAATAATTTTCAAAGACGATAAATTTATAGAATTAATTTCCATTAATGTAGCTCTCAGTAGAATTTTGAAATTCCACTTACCTTTGCATGCATCAGTTAATAATTGAATAGATGGCAGTGTAATAATAATAATAATAATATATATATATATATA